CCCGCGCCACTTTGGCGCCCAGGGAAGAGTGCGGAAGACGGCGCGCCGCGCGTCGCGTGCACCAGTGCTACCAGTGCGAAGGCGGGGACGAACAACACAGGGACAATCAGTCCTGCCGCGGGTCGCACCCACGGGGGCTTGGTGAGAAACTGTAAAACCGCCCCGTCGTATGGTACCGCGTTAGAGAAGCGCTACAGTATTGTACAAGTGGTCGACGACGCCTCGCTCTAAGAGGTAAGAGGCACCGCTGGCTCGTCTCTCTGCCTCGGGAACCCAGTCTGTTTCGCGACATGGGGGACCGAGGCGCCAACCGCCGCAACGCGGCGTTAACTATTGTACAACAAGGCGCGGCGGCTTGGGGACGTCCCGCTCTGGTCTGAATCATTCTGGTCTAAATCACTCTGGTCTGAATCAGTCTTAGACGAATCGGCAACCTCACAACCGAGTGATGGAGAGAGAGAAAAAACCAGCTCAAAACCCCGATCCTACAGTACTTGTACCGTTGGGTACTGTAGGTGTGGGTGAGGGAGAGAGAAAAAGGTTAAAAGACAACGAAAAAATGGGTGCAAGTCGTCATCCGTGGTCGCCCGGCTGCTTCATTACCGTACAGAGAGGCAACCAATGGTTGTCGTGTGTGGCGTTTTCGGGGGTGTTGGGAGGGGGTTAATCAAGGTCCACTCTCTGTCGACAATCGGCATAAAGTTACCGCGGAGGCTGTTCATGTGAACAGCCTCTGCAGAAATATTGCAGAAATATGCCGATTGTCGACAAACAGCCGACATCGGCTGTTCTATGCAGAAATATTGCAGAAATATGCCGATTGTCGGCTGTTCACATGAACAGCCTCCGCAGAAATATTGACAAATGACGGGTCATATGCTGCCCTGCTGTTGCTCAAGGTATCGACCCTTAGGAAACTCCCGCATTTCCCAGCTTGAGTGTTTCCATCTTTTCTCAAATCCCCTACAGGTACCAACATGCGACGCGCGGCCTGCCACCGCCTTGTACAGTACCCGCACACAGAATCCGATTGTCCCAACGCAGGGAACGGTGTGCCAAGCTGTGTGTGTGCATACACTGCATGTGCAGTGTCTCGCATCTTGTGTGTATAGCACGCCCATCCCACCCCTGACGGACGGACGCATTATCACTCTAGAGCGCTATCCTCATATGAGGACAAGGGCCGGTCGGATGGACACTACCCTTGTAGTAGTAGTACCAAGGGTAGCACTCCACAACCCGTTCGCCTTGCGCATTGCCACACCCAAACGGGGACACACACTCTTGACAAAATGTAAGCCAAACGCGAGAGTCCTCGCATTCTTGCCAGCCCTGCTTGCCGTCCTTCGTCTTCCTACAAACACTTGCGCCCTCCTTCCACTCCACCCTCCGCGTGGACCGCGCCCCCTGGCCCAGAACACCGGTCCTGGCCCACCCACATCTCCACTGTACACAACTGTTTTTGTACACCGTCACCACTACTGTACAGTACACTGTTTCAGTGCAGTGTTCAGTGCAGTGTTCAGTGCAGTATTCAGCGCAGTCTTCAGTGCAGTCTTCAGTGCTGTCTTCAGTGCAGTACCGTTGGTACTGTAAATTTACAGCGCAGTGTCCCGTAGGGTACCGTACACCTGGATAGGCACTTGCTATCAACGTTACAATTCCCGCCTTTGCATTGATAACTCTTATGAGTTACTTGATTAGACCGTAGCCGTACATCACTCCAATTTTTCATCATGACGTTCAACTTTTCCTTCTTCACCAGCCCCGCATCGAGCCTACTAACCAATCTCTTCATGGATGCCTTGATCTGACCTTGCAGCTCGCACCATCTGCAGAAACTGATGATTTCTAAGGGCCGCCGCCTACGAGTTGGTGAGGATCCAGCCGCTCACGAGTCAATTATGTACCACTCGCAGTAACATGCCAGAGACCCTCGGACGTTGTCACCCGCACAGACACCCCCGAGATCCTGCTCAGAACCGGACCGCAATTGTTCCCCTGGTCGACCTGCCATAGCGTGGTCGCCAGAGTCCGCGCTGGTATACCACTCTTTTGCACAATCCCACCATCCATCTCCTCGTCCTCTAGGTAACACAAATTGCGCCCACGGAACAGGCACCTAATCGTGCCTGCTCTGGCTAGAATGCAGATTACGTCACCAACTACTACCTGAGCGCATTGAGCGATGGACGTAATAACGTCCTCGCCATCCAGCGCGCGACGTTGAGCCAACGAGACTGCCTTCCTTACTCTCTTAATCTTGTCAAAGGCGTCGTCCAACATCGGTGGTCGAACCGTCGAAAGTGCATCTTCAGGGACTTTAAAAGTCACTAGAGGACCGACCTACCACATCCGATGCCAGGTCGATACACTTCTCGAGGTGATGTATGAAGCCACCTTCACTACAACGACACGTCGCGCACTTGCTCTTCGCAACGTCCATCAGGAATCTAGTCTCTAGAGACCCGTCGACCTTGCGCTGCAAGTACGCCAACCCAGTTGTGTTGAAGTCCTCGGTAACATCTATCTCCCGCTCACATATCGCAGCTTGCTCCCGCCACCAGCTCAACCTGACGCAGCGGGACGTCCTCTCTTGGGTAACCACGGGGTCTAGAGGGGCTCCTTGGCTGTGCCTGGCTACTAAATACGGAGTGTTAGCGCGCAGCACTATGCAATTGTTAGTTAGAGAGTCGTCTTGACTTGAGTTTTCAATGTGGACATGTATACAACGGTTTTGAGACTCGCTAGCTTGAATTCTGCCGAATGCCTGTCTGTCCGTAGTAGATAGGTAAAGAAGGCCTATTGAGGAACTAACTCCTAGACTCGTAGTAGCGCCAGTAAGTCTGTTAATGCAAGTCTTCCCGGCTTCGATCCTCACCGAATGTGCTACCACGAACTCTGAAATCTTTCGTATGCTGGCTGAGTTGACCACCTTGCAGGTCGTCCAGACCTCCGTGCAACCAAGCTTGATAAGTAGGCGTGGCTGCTAAATCGCGAACCTTAACCTTCATACCTGAATAGTACTCTAGCTGCATTATGTCGCGTCGTCCACTTCCCGATCTCTTGATCCTGACTACGTCGACCCAGTACGGCATCGCCATACCACGCTCGCTGTCGAGACTCGTGCTGGTAGACATCGCAGCGATAATAATCTAGAGGGTAAGAAGCTAATCACGGAACGCCGAGGTGGGAAGTTGTAAAGTTTTAGTGGCCGGGAGCGCAGGTCGAAGAGGAGACGATTAATCGCGGTGAGAAGGGAGGGTTAATTAAGCACTCAGGGGAATACAAAAAATTTGCATGTACAGGGAGGGATACTGTACAAGTACGGGTCCACTAAAGTTGAACAGAACTGAGATGGCAGGCCATAAGTAAATTTAAAATTGTCCGATTCAGTCGGGGTTTTTTCCATTAGAAAGCAGATGGCCTTGACCGTCCAGGTCGGGGTGGCTTTTTTTAATGGTGGATAGTAGTAGACGTAGAATTCCCGAACACGTGGGAGCGCTAGCGTCGTCGATCCCGACCCCAATGTCACTCGAAACTTGAACAACAGTTTTATTGGTCAACGCGAAGTAAGTATCAAAAAAAATTCAAAAAAAGTTGTATCTCAAATTCTATCTGCCACGAACGACTTCATTGCTTCAGTGCTGAGATGAACTTGAAAGTATGGTATCCAATCGAACTTTGGGCGGCAAAGCTCGTGGTCAGATTTGAATTTATTTTTCACAACGCGTTTATGCCATTTGTTGGACCTGAAGTCAGGAGATATGTCCATTTCTGGTGCTCAATCTTGATTTTGGAATAAAAAGGGCAGATTTTTCGCTTGTTCAACTTTTGGGGTGACTGTTCAGTTTTGGGTACCCCATACTTGTACTGTAACGAGCTCGCCATGACCCATAACTTGACAACAGTGTAGTATTGCGTGCGCACTGAAAGGGACACCCGTCAAACTTGCAGTTTTCAGGGAGGGATATCCTACTGTACTTAACTCCCTCCTGTGCCAACTAATTTCTCCGCTGTCACTCTAATTTCTCCGCTGTCACTCTAATTTCCCCGTCACGGACAACAGCCCTTTTAGTTAAACACGCCCAACTCATTCCTAAGAAACTCCCCTTTGTACAGTAATATCCCTTGGTCAAGTGTCCTGTCCCGCTCAGCCTTATGATTGCGTCCAGTAGTTTCTATCGTGCTAGCTTCTGCTTACAGTATGATGCAGAAAGTTTCTGTTTCTGCCAGAAACTGACGACATGCCCATCCACACTTCCAAGGTCTTTGTCCCTTCGCCTGCTGCCTCCCCTTGTACCCCGCGCATGCCAACGATCCAACCATCGACATTGATTAAACTTCCACACGTGTACCACCACCGACGCTCTACTTTCCCGCCCTTCCCACACATTCAAAACTCATACAGTATTTCCATTGTCCAACAAACTGCTGGTCTACCTTTCTTCATGGACTCTCCAGTGTGAAGGTACCGTGCGGTCCATCCGTAGCTACGGATACTGACCAGCCACTCTTCCAGCGCCATCAGTACCCAACATACAACGCATTTGCACATCACCTTGCCTCCCTGCAATCGGTTTCCATCTGCTGTTACGGACCGGTTTCCTGCTTATTTCTACTGCAGAAATAAACAATTCCTTCCCGCAAAGTGCGTGTTGCATCCGCTCTGCCCTTGCACATGATCACCATGACACAATCCGTGTTGTTTCAGGATCCCCGGAATATCACTCTTCATCCAATCAGGCAATGTACTGTGCTGTCCTAATCGAAAACGTATAGCGCGCCAAACCGTCTTGCAAATTGGCCGTACAATCTTTGAAAGGGAGACGACTATATCAAACGAGCAGCTCACTTGGGACGGCGAGACTTCACACCTTGGACCGCTCACCTTCTCTTTTATGAAGGCAGGGCTGGCCTTCGCGTGACTCCTGACAAACATTGATTGATCCCGGCTGCATGGTTGCTTCGATTCAACCACACTGCCGTGCTCTACCAGTTCATACAGAAAATTCATTCCGGATGCCATCGCAAAGACATCCAGGCGGTCCCCACCAAGCCTTCCACCGCAAAATCACTCGAGCGAGTCCCTTTCTGACATTGGACAGAAGAGAAAACCTATCCTTACAACAAACCGACGGCAAGTAGCAATGCCACAGTTGCAACTCACACATCCAATTCTGAAACTGCACCTTGCGACGGGCACGTTCGTTGGGCCTCTAAATTGACAAAAAGGGTTTCCTTCCTGTAAGCGGCGGGTACACAACCCTACCACGTTTCTGGTCATTCTGCACCCCGAATGAAGGTGTGGCGATGCCCCCACCGTGCGCGACATGACCAAGGTTTGACACAGGGAACGCGGTTTCCAAATACACAGCACGTGTCTGGTTTCGAAGAATAAGCCGGTGCTGCTCGACAGGGAGGACAAGGTTTAACGTTCTTCACGCTCCATCGCGAGGAACAGAATGTCGAAACGGAGAGAGAGCACTGGTTAAAACATAACATGATCTTCTTTCCGGTCCCGCACTTCAAAGAATCCGGTTCCAATTCATGCGTCCTCATGTCTTTCTCTGGAGAAATCATGTGTAGCCGACCCATCTCACCGATGTGAAGGGGCCGACAGGAGGAGCGTTGTGGTGGAGAATATCTGATAAACTATCCATACAAACAAGCCTGTGCGTGTGTTTGTACAGTAATGTACGTTCGCCCACTCACATCCATTGCGTATTCAAAGCCATGAATTGCTCCACGCCAGCAGAATCTGGATTGCCAAGTCGAACTTTTGCACAGCACAGTTGCACTCGTCCATGTGATGTCATCTGGCTACCTGATTATGAAGCGCCGGACAGTACAGTACAGTACTTAACTTGTACAACACATGTAATTTACTGAAGGTGTGTCGGGCTTCGAATAATGTCTTACTACAGCAGGAGCCTTTGGAAGTATGGCAATCACAAGACCCAGCGATGTCACTTTGTCGCTGACTGATATGCGCCTTTCTCCCTCTGAAGACTTTTGTTGTGAGTTGGACTGGTTGTCGTTGTCACGCGCACCTGCTTTCCCATCATGCTGTGCCCAGGTTATGCAGTTCTGTCTTTTAAGCACCGCAGTGTTCTGCTACCTCGCTCGTGTCTCTAGATTTTTTATAACCCAGCCACTCGTGAAGAACCGAAGAGAAGTGTGCTGTACAGTATATTGATACAGTCCTTGTCCACACAAATGCACAGCAAAGAGACTCGCAAAATACAGTGACTTTGGAACTTGCCGAATACTCTCGCGACTGCCCAATGCTGATGTCAAGAACAGTGGTTTGTATTAAACGCACAGCACTACACGCGGCATAGTGGGTGTCTTGTGCGAAACCCTTGTGTCAGACGGAGGTGGATTGCTTCCGACGCAGACAACTTTCCGCAGGCTGTACGGTATTTATGTTACGGATACGGTTAAGATTCGAGGAAGACGATCGCACCCTAGTCTCGAGATGGTGTGGAGCAGCAATGAATCGAGAGTGCTACTTCGAGGAGCTTTTTAGAGTGATGCAGCATTCACTGATTCCATGATGTCTAAGAGGGAGGGCGTCGGTAGTCGAATCAGGT